GCCAAAGAGATGTGCGTCAAACGCAAGAGAGTCGAGATCCGAGAGCAGGTGCAGTGTGTGTGTGTGTGTGTGTGTGAGTGTGTGTGTGTGTGTGTGTGAGTGTGTGTGTGTGTGTGTGTGTGTGTTTGAGTGAGTGAGTGAGTGTGTGTGTGTGTGTGTGTGTGTACAGGTGTATAATTGTTATATCAGGTTACATATCATTAGCCTGTGTGTGACACTGTACGACAGATGGAAACACACTGAAATGTTTTTGTATTTTAACACATAAAAATGTGTCCAGTTGCTATTGTAACCTCGGTTCCCTGAGAGCGTAACTCCGCATTGCGTCAGCTGTGGCGCTGCGGGAACTGTGTTAGATCCCGCTGAGAGAGTGGTGAAGATAAGCCCGGAGAAATGGGTCACACTACACAGCCACGAAGAGACAGACAGTCAGCCAATAGCCACGCCGCTAGGAGTGCTCGCATCTGATAGGCGGAACTAGACCAATGAGACATAAGCTCCGACCCTATCAAAATTGAGCAAAGCCGCTTTCAGGGAGAACTTGTTACCCGCGACCGAAGCTAGGGCTCGACGGCGGAGCAAGAGCTAGATCCCACGTGAAGGACACAATCTCCTCGCTCTCTGAGAAATCTGGCCACCAGAGCGTACCGATCGATTGCCCGTCAACCGGGGAACGAAACGAAGCAATAGCGGCCACATACACCTTCCGCGTGGATGGCTAACTCCCGCTATCCAGTCTGTGCTGTAGGAAGCTCAAAGAATCCGACACGCGACAGATCGGCGGGTCGACATCGCTGTCCTGGCACAAACTCCCCATTTCAGAGCATAAAGGCTCCTAGTAGAAGCGCGCGACTCTGCGAGTGTTTAGCTCACGCATGTTTAGCTTAGCGGCCACACATGAAGGTTCCTCCGCTCGGTGCCGTATCGTGCCGTCCGCCTGAGACAGCCGGTCCTCCATGCGGGAGCCGCCGTTATCTCTCTCAGGTCTGCAAACCACGGCTGGTTCGGCCCGTTCGGGAACGCGAGGATCCTGTGCTCTCCTCCCGGATCCTGCGTAACACCACAGGTGGAGTCTTCCCCGGAGCGAACGTGGAAGTGTTGAAGTTCCCGCTCTCGAAAGGGAACAGAGTATTTCCATAGACAGTAAAAGAAATGGACACAGCGACCCCATAGACGGAGAAAAGTGAAGCCCATGAGAAGCGCTCACTCCCTGATGGCGGAGCGACTGCGCTGGCTCACACTGAGCTGGACGACGGAGATGTGGCGAGAGCAACCTGTACGTCTTCTAGTAGCTGTGCCGAGAGGAATCTGATCATTCCCTTCCGGATCTCACAGAGCCGGAGAGCGAGAGTAGAGCTGTCCATGAGCAGCAGGATCAGCTTCATGACTCTCTATGGGCTTCTCCCTGGACGTTCTGCTCCACGCCCTCTGATTGACATGGGCTTCTCCTCCTGTCTATACGGTAACTTCTCTACTGTGCGACAGAGAGTCGCGTGTTATGACGCAATCGTTAGCCTATTTTTACAAAAACGGCTTCTACAGGCCGTTGTGAATTGTTTCTTTAGAAATAAATAATGGACAAATGGAGTCTTTAAACGCCTTTAGATGTAAAGTTATTCGCTGTCAAAGTGACACCAAAATGAATGGGAGTCGATGGAATACTAACAGCAGGTGAAGGTCTGCTAGCCAGTGGCGGCCTCCGGGAAGGGTCGCTCTCCGGCTGCTGGATTACACCCTTGAGTGTTTCCATACTCAAATGCAGATTCAGTGTTTGTCCCAGAGCTGGACAGTGCTCCACCAGAGGGAGCTGTCTCACTCCTGCAGGGCTCCAGTGTTCCACCAGAGGGAGCTGTCTCACTCCTGCAGGGCTCCAGTGCTCCACCAGAGGGAGCTGTCTCACTCCTGCAGGGCTCCAGTGCTCCACCAGAGGGAGCTGTCTCACTCCTGCAGGGCTCCAGTGTTCCACCAGAGGGAGCTGTCTCACTCCTGCAGGGCTCCAGTGCTCCACCAGAGGGAGCTGTCTCACTCCTGCAGGGCTCCAGTGCTCCACCAGAGGGAGCTGTCTCACTCCTGCAGGGCTCCAGTGCTCCACCAGAGGGAGCTGTCTCACTCCTGCAGGGCTTCAGTGCTCCACCAGAGGGAGCTGTCTCACTCCTGCAGGGCTCCAGTGCTCCACCAGAGGGAGCTGTCTCACTCCTGCAGGGCTCCAGTGCTCCACCAGAGGGAGCTGTCTCACTCCTGCAGGGCTTCAGTGCTCCACCAGAGGGAGCTGTCTCACTCCTGCAGGGCTTCAGTGCTCCACCAGAGGGAGCTGTCTCACTCCTGCTGGGCTCCAGTGCTCCACCAGAGGGAGCTGTCTCACTCCTGCAGGGCTCCAGTGCTCCACCAGAGGGAGCTGTCTCACTCCTGCAGGGCTCCAGTGCTCCACCAGAGGGAGCTGTCTCACTCCTGCAGGGCTCCAGTGCTCCACCAGAGGGAGCTGTCTCACTCCTGCAGGGCT